GGGTGCGACACCGAGACCGAGCCCGGGGGACCGGGAGGAGCCCCGCGCGCGTTTGAATGGCACCGAGGCGCGCCCCGCGCGGGGCCCGGGCCTCCCCGCCCTCTCGCGCGCGGGTCCCCGCCGGATGTTGACGGCGTCGCCTAGCGACGGGAGATGGCGGAGCCGGGCGACAGAGCCGACGGGTAAGCTAGGCCTAGACAGCTGGTCTCGGAGGGGCCAGGCCGTGCTCCCTGGCGCCCCTTCGCCCTCAGGCCCCCACCCTCCCGCCTCTGTCCCTTTCTGGGCCTTTCCCGCCCTCTGCAGTCACCTACCCCGCCATGGGCCCTTGCCCTTTCTCATCTCCTGTGCCTTTGTCCCACCTCTGTCCCCTACTCCAAACCCACACTCCCAGGCCCTGCGGTAACCATGGCAACCACTACTAGGCAGTCGGCAGGCAGGGGGCAGGCAGGGGGCAGGAGGGCCCCCCAGTGGGATGCTGCCCCTAATGGGGGGCTGCTCGCTGCCCAGCCCTGTGTCTCCCCCCTGCAGAGATGAGTGTAGCCCCACAGTCCTGGGTGGCAGGCGACAGGGCAGTCCCCCACTGCCTGCCCACGGAGAGGGCCTCTAGGTAGAGGTCTCTTGGCCAGCCCTCTGCTCTCGTACGCCTTGTTTAAAAGGATAGAAATGAGCTTACAGGATCTGACCTCTTCATCTGAGAATGTAATGATTGTTTTATTCCAAATAATTTTTTAAAAAATATGGGACCCAGCTGGTGGCATGGTGGTTTGGGTGGCTGGATCCCACAGGGCCGATAGCAGTTGGAGTCCTGGATCCAGCAGCTTGAGGAACACGACACGTATGCATGTGTGCCCCAAAATCCCAAAAGGAGAACGGGGAAGGCACTGGGATGTGGTCATGCCACATGGGGGGTGCTTTCCCACGCTCTCCTGTGAGGTCACAGAATTAAACTAATTAACCTGTGGCAAAATGTAAAAGAGAGGGAAAAAGAAAATCTGAAAAAGGCCCGTCTCCGTGTACAGCCAGGACAATGTCCAGGTCACATGAGATGGAAAGTCAAGCCTCTGTGTGAGCTCCACTTGGTGTGCGTGGGGGAGGCTACGTGCATGGGGCACATTGTGAAAAACCTGAAGCCCCAGATCTCCCTCTCACCAGGGTTTATCTTGGGAAGAAGGGCGATCACAGGGGCCTGTCACTGTCCCGGTCACACATATATGTCTCGACAAGACTTAGTGGAAAGCTCGCGCTCCTTCTCCTAGACGGTGGTGTATGTGCACAGGTCGAGCCCCGCGCCCCCAGCAGGGCCTGGTCATGCCACAATCGTTTTCATTCGAGATCTCTGTCCCACCTGGACCCCAGGCCTGCACGCGCACGCCTTCCATGTTTTTCAAGTTGCCAGTGCTGGGACTCAAACCCTGGTCAGCCATGAGAGATCTGGCTTCCTCTGCACAGAGCCTAACCGCTGTGCTACAGGCCTGCCCAGGCTGGTACTGTGAATTAGGGAAGCCGGAGCTAGTTTGAAATGTGAATCATGGCCTCCTTGTGCTCTGTAGATCACAGAGAAAACCACGAGGAATCTCAGAAACACTGGTGCTGCCCGCCTGCAGAGGTTTCCCTACTTTGTATTTCTTTCCCCGTTTTGTCACGGACACAGGTACATTTCAGGTGACATTTGTGGGGTGATCTGGCCATGCTGTTCCTTTAATGTCTCAATAACTTGTGGCACCTCTGCCACCCGAAAGGCATGAGCTAATGACATACAGGCCCGAGTCGTGGTAACAGCCCAGGGAGGGAGAGGGGAGGCAGAGGATGACGAGAGAGCACAGACGCCATACGTGCCCACGAAACACGGCTGCTGAAAACTGTCCGATCGTCTCTCTGCACGCAGGTCTCACCCGGGGGGCAAAGCGTCTTCTGAAGGAGAGGAGGAGGAGAGTGACGGAGGCGAGGAGGTAAAAGTCCCGTGTGCTTTCCAGGAATGCTCGGGGTTGACCCTCCCTGACAGAGGGGCAAACGAGACTTTTAATAAGTCAGTGTCATTGGGGAGACCCTGTCACCCGGCGCTGGGCCGAACTCGGTCCATGGCAGGGGAACTTGTTTTTCTCCCAGCCCGCTCTAAAGCTGGCCTGTTAGCAGCACCCACGAGGGCCGACCCTGGCTTGCCCTGAGCAGTTCAGAGCGCGCTGCCTGGAAGGAAGGGCATGGAGTGTGTGGAGGAGCAGAGGGCGGGCCACGCGCAGCTCTGCTGCCCCCCTAGCCGTGCTGAGGTGTAAAGGCAGCCTTCCCCTGCACAATTGCACCAAGACAGAACCCCCGCGAGGGCCTTCACCCCGATTGTTTGGTCCTGATTCCCCCTGTGGCCCTCACAGGCCTCGCCGCCAGAGAAGAACCACGAGCCGAGCAGCGAGCAGAGCAGCGAAGGCGCTTTGGGTGCGGCGGAGCCTTCGGAGGGGGAAACCGCGCCTGACGGGGAAGCCGAAGTGGAAGGGGAGGCCGAGGTCGCAGGGGAGGCCAAATCTGATGGCGGCCAATCTGGAGAGCACGTGGACGCTGAAATCGAAGATGGGACCGAAGTCACAGGGGAGGCGGAAGCTGCAGGAGAGGCCCAGACCCACGAAGGCCAAACTGGAGGAGTGGAAGCTGAAACCCCTCAAGGAGCAGAAATCGCAGGGGAGGCCGCCATTCAGGAAGATGGAACCACAGAGCAGGGGGAAGAGCAATCGGAGGAAGAGGTCGAAGCCGAGAGTGAGGGGGACACGGATTCTGACTTGGAGTTCGCCTCCCCTGGAGAGCAGATCAGTTCTATGAATCTGACCGTTTCCGACGTCAGTCCTCTGGAGCTGCCTGAAAAGGGCGACAGCCTCACATTCATGTATGAAAGGATCCTCAGGGACCCCGGCCTGGAGGGCCCCTGGGGACCAGGAGAGCACCCCCGGCAGGCGGCAGGCTTCCCTGTGCAAACGGAGAGCCGGGTGAGTAGCCCTGCGCCCTGTCCCCCTTCTTACTGCCACACGGTCCCTGGCCGGCCTGAGGCGCCCGCTGGCTCCGCAGATACAGATGCCACCTCTGTTAGACGCTTCTGGGCGAACTTAGGTCTCGGGACCCGTTAACCGCGAGAGCTCTGGGACGCTGACATCCCAGAGCCACTCTGCATGGGAGGGGGTACCTGACAAGTGTAGGATCGGCCCTCGCTTGTCCCAGTGAGCCAGTTTCAGAGACCGGAGACGGCGAGGGCTTGCTCAGAGGAAGGCAGGTGTTGTTACAGGTCAGCAGGGCTCAGGGCTCCCACGGTGCTGGCTCCCAGGCTGGGGGCGCACAAGGCTTTCAATGGGCGGTCAGGAACAGTCAGGAACGCGGAGACTCGGTCGGGGGTAGCAGCCCGGGCTTGCTGGGGCAGTCTTTGACAGAGGGTGCTGGGTAGTCTCTGGGAGGGTCTAGAGGGAGGTGTTTTGATCAGGTCTGCTCCAGGTAACGAATTCTCAGGGCCCGTGTCAAGGGCACCAGATTCCCGTCTCCCGGAGCCACACAGGCTGCCAGGGCTCCAGAATGTTCATTTCCCACAGTTCTCACCGCTTACGTTTAAATAGCCACCTGCTGCTGCAGCTCCCGGTCCAGACAGTGCCGTTCTGGAAAGCAAAAGCGAACATAGTCACATGCTTATATTTTTTTATGTTTTCAAGTTTGTTTTTTTAAAAAAAACAGTTATGCGTGTACAGAAAAAAAAGTGAAATACAATTGGAACTTTTTCCTTAAGAGAGAGAGGAGAAAGTTACTTTTTTAAAATTATTTTAATTTTTAGGGTGTGTGTGTGTATGTCTGTTTTGCTATAGGGCGTGTGTTCACGGGAAAGAGACAGAAAGAGGGAAAGTGAAAAATCACCCTCTGGGGGGATGGCCATGCTGTAATCCCTTCTCCATTCTCTTCTCGGGATTTTAAGAGTGTATGCGCAGGTGCCCGGTGTGATTTTCAAGCCTTCTGGTCTGAGACTCAAACTGTGTGTGGTTGCCCATATGGGAATCTCAGCGCTTTAACTGCCATGCCCTGTTTTTTATTTATTTATTTATTTTTTAATTGCCAGAGGGCATGTGTGCTCCCCAGAGAGAGAAAGTGAGAGAGCGAGCGAGCGAGAGAAAGTGCCCCCAATGTGGCATGGTCACAACGCAGTCTCTTTTCTGTCTTGCCACCCTGTTAGGATTTGGGGACACACACACGAGCACCTGGTGTGTCTTTAAGGCTGCTGGGGCTGGGACTTGAACAGCAGTCAGCCATGCAAGATATGGCTCCTTTAACCACTAGGCCAAGGGCCAGCTGCAGAGGTAGTTTTGCCAGGGTCTCTCTCTGTGTTGCAGTCCTCCTGGCCCAGCCTTCCTGGTAGCTGGGCTTTCCACACCTGGTGTGTTTGGGTTGGCCCAGGACCTGAGCCTCGGCCTCCCATGAGGCTTCCAGTCTCCTAAGAGGTCGGGCAGAGTGTGTGCCACCCCTGCTGGCCAAGAACGTTTTCGTTTTTAGCATTCAACAGCAGGTGGCCGATCTGACGAGTGGCCTCCGTGTGCTCCTGGAATCTGGAAGTGGCACTGTTGTGTTGCCTCGGGGTGCACAGGCCTCACCAGGCCTCCTCATGTCCTAGTAACCCCGGCTACAGCAAAGGTGCAGCCCAGACCCGGGTCCGCCTCGGCCGTCAGTCTTCTCTTCACCTTGATGGTTTGACCTGAGTGAGCGGCTCTGTAGCTCAGTACGCATTTGCCTGATGTCTCCCCGTCATGAGACTCAGCCACGACTCCCTGGCGGGACCATCCTAGACATGACGCTCTCATGAACCAGGTGCTGCCCCGCGCTGGGCAATGTCCCCTTTGGTGGGAAGGGGTGTGTGTGTGTGTGTGTGTGTGTGTGTGTGTTTACTTATTTGAACAGGAAAATGAAAAGGAATATTTATTTAGAATGAGAAAAAAAAAATCCTAACAGGTTTCCACCATTTATTTAGGATTCCTCACTTTTACTCCTCAAAAAAGATAGGTGTCACACGACTTTTGCCAGACTCCCCCAAGGAGCTCACATTTTTTTGAGGCTACTGTAAATTACTTTCAATTGCTCATGGCTAATATGTAGAAATGCAGTTGACTTTTGTATATTGACCTTATTTTCTGCAACATTGCTAAACTCCCTTATTGGTTAGAGTATCCAATTTGCAGAATCCATTTTTCATGAAGATAATCGTGACATCTGAACATTAAGGCAGGAACTCTTTTCTTTCCAAGCTGGATGCCTTTGTTTTTGTTTGTGTGTTTGTGTTTTCTTTTTCTTGCCTGATTACATTGGCTAGCACCTCCAGCAGAGTTGACTAGAGATGGTGAAAGCAGATGTCTTTGTCTTGTTCCCCATCTTACGGGAAAAGCTTTCAGTCTTCCTGATAAGTAGGATGTTAAGTGTGGGTTTTCTGGAGACCTTGTCCTAGGCTGAGGACGTGCTCATCTATTCCTGTTGTGTTGAGCGTTTTGTTTTATCCTGAAAGGACACAGGATCTTGCCTAGTGCTTTTTCCATGTCTGTTGAGATGATCGTATTCTTTTCTTTGTTAGTTAATATGACGTATTGACTGATTTTCAGATGTTAAAACAATCCTGCCTGGGGCCAGCAGGTAGTGTGGTGGTTAAGGTGCTAGACTCCCACATGGTTGACCACAGTTTGAATCTTGGACCCGGCAGTTGGAAACTCACACCAGGCCTGTGTGCATTTGTGCCCAAAATCCCAAGAGCAGAATGGAAGAGAAGAGACTGTGGCACGGCCATCCCCCGTGGGGGGCGATTTCTAACTTTCCCTCTCTCTGTCTCTCCCTTCTCTCTCTGGCACACATATGCGCTCTTAAGAAAAATAAAATAAAATGAAACAACCCTGCCTTCTGAGATGAACGTGGGGAAATACTTTGAAACTCTGTGTCCCATTCCTCACTGAACCCTCAGCTTCCCCGTTATTTAGACACGTACGGACTCACTGGGTAACAGCCATTACTATCACAACGTGCTCAGACAAGTCTTGTCCCTCCGTTGGCCTCCGTGCCCTTAGATGTGCCCCAGCACCCTCCGACGTGTTGCCTGGCCCCGGAGGCGGACGGAGAGGAGAATTTAGACGTCAAGATGTACTGCTGCTGGGCACCCTCACCACCACAGGGTGTCACTATTTCTGGGTCCGCTCAGTGGGACGAGGTAGAGAACACAAGGAGACCCCCAAAGATTCATGCAAAGTGGGCTAGAGTATGCACTGACTTTGGTGAAAAATGTGTTTGAAACCCATGCACAGTCCAGTTTGCAATATGCATTTCCCATGGATTTCATAGAGACCCCTGTTTACGCACGCATCATTCCTGCACCCTCAGCCGCGCGGTCACGCACAGTGTGCCGTTATGACTGCGTCTGTCGGAGCACCCCCCAGCTCACCCCCCCTCCTGCCCATCTGCCACCCAGGGCTCCTGCTAGCTTTCTTCCCTCCCGACCTGGAGCTCCTTTCTCCAGCAGCGAGACCCCGCCTCTCCGGGCACCCCTGCACTTTCTGCCCCTGTGGTCAACTTCCCAGTCTCACTGCACCCCCCCCCCACCACCACAGGGTATCCGTCAACCACACTGGGCTGGTTCGACACCTGGCCCTCAAGGCTCTCCCCGCCAGCAGCCTCCTCCTTGCCGGGCCCACTTGCTGGTTTTAGGTTTGACAAGTTCAGGAGGGGAGCGCCGAGGGGTGAAGGCACGCCTGTCATCTTCCCTAAGTCTGATGCCAGGCTAGACACTGCTGTACGCTGCTCGACTGGCCGCAGCTGTCCACGAGTCCAGACCCCTTGTCATCTCCCCACACAGGGAGGAGAGGCCAGGATGGGATGGGCCTTCTCCCTCCAGGGCCCGGCCATAGTTCTGAACCAAGAAGCCCACCTCCCTCCTGCCCGAGACGGCCGGGGACTGAGACAGTGGCGCCTCGCCTCGCCCTGGCTGGCTGCCGAAACTCAGAGGAGCCCTTGGCTTCCCTGTAAGCGGCGTCCCCTGGGGACACAGGGATGGCAGGCACCTGCCTCGTGGTCTGTGGCGAGGATGGCCTGAGGGCATTTGTCAGACGCCATTCGTGGGCAGGAGAGCGCTGGCTTGTCTGACGCGCCTGTACCCACCCTCCGCCATGAGCCATCACTGGTGTCCACTTTCCAGGCTGGATGGAGCCAGGTGTTTCATGGAGGAAAGACACTTTCTCATGGAAATCCCCGGGGTGGGGCGGTTGGAAAGAAAAGAAGGGACCGTCCTTGCCAGAGACCCTGCCTGAGCCGGGGCTCTCCAGCATGTCCGTCTGGAGAGGTGTGCAGAGCTGTCTCCCGCCCCCTCCATCAGCTCCGGGCAGTGAAGGAGCCCGGGGCATGCAGGCCCAGGCCACAAGCCTCAGCTCTCACCGCCAGGCTGGGTGTGCTCCGTCTCAGCCACTCCCACGGCCAAGTACGGCTGAGAGCCAGCTGACCCGTTGTGTTAACAGTCACGTTGGGTCTGAGTGTACTGGATCGAAACTGAGTCACTTCCCAGTCGCGGTCAGGCCCTCACCGACTGCTCCTCGTGCTGGCCACAGATGGGGTCCCGAGATCTCCCCGAGGCCTCTCACGTGGGGACATGGCACCACCTCAGGCTGAGCAGAGACAGCAGCATCGTGTCCTCAGATATGGACGAGGCCTTCCTGCCCCTGGAGGGGCCCCTCACGGAGACAGGTACATCCCCTGTGCCACCTGTCCCCTCGTGCCCTGTGTGGCTGTGAACCGCAGGGCTGAGGTATGGCCTACAGAAATGGAGAGCATCCCGCCCACTAACCTGGCGACGGAGGGACCCGAGCGAGTGGCCACGTGGGGCCCTGACCCAGACCCATCACCCCCCAGCATGGCCCCTGCCAGCCGTTTCCCTGCGCGTGCCCATGCCTGCCCGCCTGGCACACCCAGCGTTTGCCGGCCCTGATGCCCCCGAGTCGGGTCATGGCGGGGCAGAGCGGGAGCTGACTTGGCCCCACGACACCACGGCACACACGGCTCAGCCCTGTGCTGTTCTCGGAAACAGCCCCGACTGGACAGCTCCGTGCCAAACAGGACAGAGGCCATTCCCGCCCGGGCGGCGTGGAGCCGAGGCCAGGGCCTTGCGCAGAATCGCGTCTTTTCAACCTCACCAGCTGTCCCCCATCTGTAAGAAAGTACTGAGTCGTCGGGAAAGCAATGATGCATTTTTCTCTCTGCGAAAACGTGTCTGACTTTCCTGACGCCCAGTAAAGTCGAAGCCCTCGGTCAGGAGCCACCTTGCCCTTTACTCGCTGCCCGTAAGGAGGCACAGGCGGGCAACACTTGCCCATGGGGAGATGTGGGCGTGCATCCGCGTCCTTGCACAGACCCGGCACCACGGCCTGCTGCACGCCGGGCTGCGGGGCCACCACTGTGCGTGTGGCGCGTGTGGCTTGAACTGTTGCAACACGGTACACGATCACACTGGCAGAGCACGCCTCGTCTGCCGTTGGCGTGGGAGCCTGTCCATGGAGTGCCGCGTCACAAGCAAGTGACACCCCGAACGCCGCT